CGCCATCAAAAGAACCAACTCCCTACACACGCACAAATCCGCCAAGAGGGAAACCAAAAGGGAAATGTCACTGTCACGACGGGGGCTTGTCACTGTCATGGGCTTGTCACTGTCATGACGGGGGCTTGTCACTGTCATGACGGGGGCTTGTCACTGTCATGACGGGGGCTTGTCACTGTCATGACGGGGGCTTGTCACTGTCATGACGGGGGCTTGTCACTGTCATGGCGGATTTAAGTATAGCGTTTTATATATTGAAGATAAAATCCTACAAGGAGGATGCGAGCGTTAGCGAAGCTCGCAAGCTATGCGACCACGCCTAAAAAATATATGATAAAAGTGATGAAACGAAGGAGGGGAGGTTTTTCACAACTTAAATATTTATGATTAAATCTTTGAACATGACTTAAAGGAATAAAGACTTAATATATTATAGTAAGAATGGAAGGCGTCTATTTTTTAACCGAAGATAAAATAAATAAATTAATAGAACAAAGGAAAACAGAGAGTGAAGAAGTAAAAAGGTTTATCCGTATAAATCCTTATCCATCAGCAGAAGAAATTACCAAAGTAATTGAACAAATGAAACAAACAGGAATACCGGTTGAACTGATGATGAGACTATATCATCGTGAAATTCTAAACAACATGTATGATGAACTCAATGATGAAAGTAAGGTGATAGAATATGGAATAGAATTAAACAACATAGAAATAACTGGTCCTAACAACTCTGAGCAAATGAAATTTATTTTTATGAAAGCAAACGTTTTAATTCTTCAATCAATTATTAGATACAAGTATGAAACAAATACAAAGAAACATAAACATATTAACAAAGAAACTATATTAGGATGGTCAAGCAAAATAGAAAGGTGGTGGAATGAAGTAGGCATCAATACTATGAGCTGGAACACTTAAAACAAATTATAATCATACTATGATTATCACATGTAAAATATTATATGTTATAATTGTAATATATTTATCGTTTGTAAAGATTGAATTATTATAATTTGCTTATCTCTTTCAAAGTGCGTTGTTTAGACTTGGTATGCTTCTTCAGTTTTTTCGTGCTTTGGCTGTTTGTTTTTGTTTTGTTTGATACTCTTGTGATATTTTTTGTTGGTATGTTGCTTTGTTTTTTGTTGATGTGTGTTTTTGAGTTTGGGTTCTTTGATGATTTAGAGTGTTGCTGTTTTGTTGGTATGCTTGTTTGAATTATTTAATGTTGCATGCTGTGATTAAATATTTTTGTTGTTGGTTGTGATTATTTATTTTGTTTGCTTGTTGTTCTGGATTTTGTTTTCTGTTTGTTGTGTTGCTGTTGGAGAAAAAATAGTAGAAAGAATAATTCTTTGAATTCTCCTTTTACTATTTTTCCCCCACCCCACCCCACCCCCCACCCCACCCCACCCCACCCCACCCCACCCCACCCCACCCCACCCCACCCCACCCCACCCCACCCCACCCCACCCCACCCCACCCCACCCCACCCCACCCCACCCGCCCCACCCCCCACCCCACCCCACCCCACCCCACCCCACCCCACCCCACCCCACCCCACCCCACCCCACCCCACACCCCACCCCACCCAACCCCACCCCATCCCATCCCATCCCATCCCATCCATCCAAGCCGCCCTCCCGCACCGCCGCGCCCGCGCGCCGACTCCAGCGCGGCCCGCAGCGCACCAACGCGCCCTACCGCCACGCGCCCAACGCGGCCTACGCGCCAACGCGGACCACGCGGCCACGCGCCACGCGGGGCCACAGCGCCCCCAGCAGCGCCCCGCGCCCCCCCACTGCGCCCCAACGCGCCCACAGACAGCGCCCACAGCGACCCAACTCGCCTACGCTCCCATACCGCGACCACTCACCACGCGTACCCACCCACCCGACCCACACCCACACCCACACCCACACCCACACCCCCACCCACACCCACACCCCCACCCACACCCACACCCACACCCACACCCACACCCACACCCACACCCACACCCACACCCACACCCACACCCACACCCACACCCACACCCACACCCACACCCACACCCACTCCCACACCCACACCCACACCCACACCCACACCCACACCCACACCCACACCCACACCCACACCCACACCCACACCCACACCCACCCACACCCACCCACCCACCCCCACACCCACACCCACACCCACACCCACACCCACACCCACCCACACCCACCCACCCCACCAACCCAACCTAAAACCCAACCCCCAAATTTAACCCCACCTACCCTCGCACCGCCCTCCCCCCACCCTCACTCAATCACTCACAAAAGACCCGCCCTCACTCACTCACTCACTCACTCACTCACTCCCTCCCTCACTCACTCACATCAAACACATACCAAAAGAACACTCAGAGGATAAGCTTTAGTTTTGCCAATGCACTCACTCACATCACTCACTCCCCTCCCTCCCCTCCCTCACCTCACTCACTCACCTCCTCACTCACTATCCTCCCTCC